CTTCAAAAGTCGGGGCTTAACTCGAGCAACAACCTTTTTGTCAAACTTCGAGTTAAGCCCCGGGGCTTAACTCGAATAACCCAAATCGTGTTTCGTTCTTCGAGTTAAGCCCTTTTTGAAAAAGGGCGTGGTCTTGGCAAAACAGGGCGTGGTCGGGGCTTAACTCGAAAATGGCTTAACTCGAGGGGCTTAACTCGAAGGGCTTAACTCGAAGATTCCCGACCTCCATATTGTCTGCTTCCAAACTTCTCAAAAGTTAAGGTATTGTAAACTTCTGCTATATATATGAGTATATTTACAGAATTTAAATAAGTATAACAAATTATATTTAAGTACATATATTTATGAGTATATTTACAGCATAGAATTAAGTCGGTTTTCCAGTCCTCGCACGAAGCTCGTCGCAGCTCGCTGCGAGTGCTTGTATCTAATTAAAATTAACTGTTTTGCATTGTGATTGCATGAAAGTGCTCATGCATACACTCGCAGCGAGGAGCTTCGTGCGAGAACTGGAAATCCGCCTTAAGGAAATGGCACTGGAATGGAATGGAAGAACCACTCGAGTCGGAACCTTTGAAGTTGTTGTCTCCGCGCATATTGCATTACGCATGTATAGCCGCCCAACCTCGTTTCCAGGCTCTCCTCTCTTGTTCCGAGTGCTTTTTTCTGGCAAATAAATACATTGAACTGGCTGGTCCGCCATTATTCTGGCCAGAAAACGGCATATTTTTGCATAAAAAATGGCAGTCACGTTGCACTGCTGAGTAGCCTTTCTGGTCTTTTCTATTCTGTGGTAATTAGTATGCATGGTGGTAATCTACCTGTAAAAGCGAGGTTTATCATTTTAATACCGGGTGGCAAAAAAAGTTCACGGAGTTTGATTTAATATAGCGAAAAACTAGTATGGGAGCTACTTAAAAAGCCAAACTTAAATTTTGAGATACACAATGTTTATATTTACGTTAAATAATACAGCTATATATAATACTCCTTGCATCTTTTAAAATAGGTGCACAATAAAACGCGCAATCACAACACTGTTTCTTCATTCGTTGAAATACGAAGCGTAAGGGGAAAAGTCTATTGAACAAGGTAGCACCGACATTGAATCACACTAACCACATCACAAAACATTACATTTGGAAAAGGAATAAGTAAATGATTATATATTTTTGGAACTTTTCGAACAGAAACTGATTTACCAACATTACGGGTAATACTAAACGGAAATACAGGTGTTATATATGCATATAAAAATTTAAATCGGACCTTTCTAGATACGACAATATTTTTTTGAGGAACGTAGCAATTATAGTTTCTTTACGATGAACTAAATGAAACGCGTGAAATTTTTTTGCGCCACTTGGTATATATCAAAACTAAATAAAGTTTTCATTATCACCATTAGGTAGATCTCAAATCCTGCACTTCACGAGGTTTGACCATTCAAAGTGGTAACCGCACCATAAGAAATAAGGAAGTTGTATCTGAAGAAATTAAAAGAGAAATGGGACTGCATGACGACGAAGGGAAACGAAAGAGGGGCTGTGTCGATGCAAAATGGACAGGTAAATGTACTGAAATTATGGAAAGCGATGCCAGATTTCTGTTAGAGTTTGACAAAGTTCAGAACGGATTACAAAAGGCATGGGGAAGTAAAGATTATTTGATTAACCCATTTCAAGTTATATGTCCTTTGTGTGGTGAGATTCGAGTTATATCCAAGATGAATCAGCCCCAAGAAATTATTAATCATATAAAAGATGCACATGAAAGTAAAATGCCATCGGCCAGTTCAGTCGCTATGAAGCGATTACAAGCGTGGAAGCAAAATAACTTTGTCACAGAACAGCAACTTGACAACGTGGCAGAACTCTCTCCTGAACTATTGAAGGATCCCACCACCATAATCAAGAATCCAATGGTCAGGGCTTGTGTCCTGGCCCGTGGCATTGTTGAGGGGGCAGTTTAACTTATGCAAAATAAATATTTTCTATTGAACAAATGAACGAATGAATGAATCAACTGAGATTAATAGGCAGTTAAGTGACTAAAGTACTATTTAAAACACGAGTACTGTAGGAGTGTTTTATCAGATATAAAACGCGACGTGCAGCCGAGCGTTTTATGTCTGATAAAACACGACGAGTGTTTTAAATAGCTTAAAATACGACTACAAAAGAATACTAATTAGGATGTACCATTATATAATCACACTAATTAGGATGGACAATTATATAATACCTCATGCTTTATCAGATATAAAGTCACTCCACGTGACATATTACGGCTGACATGATTTACCACAAGGTTTATGAATTATTAATGATATTTTAACTGATAATAAAGCACGAAAATGTTTTATACATGTTCATCCATTAATTCCATTCCAGTGAATTCATTCATTCATTCTGTTTGTACCTTGTTTATTCTAATTGAAGCATACAATTTAACACTGTAGCAGACGCTAGCCCATAAATAATTTACAGAAAATATTTGGAGTAGATTTTCTTATTGGTTTACGAAAAAGTACTGCTCGAATGATGATGAATGACGCTTAAAATTTTTTTTCATATCTCTCGTCTCATTCTCAAGTTATCGCACTTTCTATATTATGAGTCGCGACGTCACTAGGCTGACTTGTCAGTGCAATATAAACAGGAAAGTCAGATATCTTGATGACAATTCAATAAAATTCAATGAAACTTGGCACATTTGTAGTGTGCACCCAAGTGAACATTTTAAATTGTTTATACAGTTGTCATGGCAATTAACTAGTACTCAGTCTCTTCTCTTCCATTAGCTATATGATCTAGCTATTTCCAACAAAATATTAAAAAAAAAACATTTGCGCAATTTTCGCTTATTACATAGTATGTATGGGAGTTTAAATTTTTGACATAGGCAAACGCCCTCTACAAGGCCTCTACAGGACGAAATTTGTGAATTTGTGCGTTGCTATGACAAGCGTTTAACAACACAAAATGTTTATTTGGATGCATACAATAAATGTGCTAGGTTTCTATGAATTTTATTGAATTATGAATCATCAAGATATATGACTTTCCTGTTAATGCCACTATCTCATGTCAATCTAGTAACGTCACAACTCAAAATACAGAAAGTGTGATAAATTGAGAATGAGACGAGATATGAAAAAACTGAAAACATCATTATGACATCTTCCATATCTCATGCTTTTCTTATAACAAATACAGGTACGTTATTTTAAGATTTACTTTTTACAAAAATTCAAATTGTATACATTGCCACATAGTTAAACTGCCCCTTCAAGTAATTCCATATTGGACAAGATTACTTGGGATTCTGGCTACAGCAGTTTGTAGTTGCAGGACTAGTTGATTCAAGTCACCTTGTATATCAGGAAGTGGACGCATTCATGACGGAACAGCTACGTCAACCATATCCTGTAAATAATTGGCAAAAATGGCCAACGCTCTACAGTTACTGTCAGTCTCTTGCTACAATTGCTTCACGAAAGGGATACAATTTCTATGTGGGAGCCAAGAGGTACGGTATGAAGGATAAAAAAAACCAACTCACCCCAGTCAAGAACTACTGTCATCCTGGACCATCCCTCTCCACCCTTGACGAAAAGAAAACCAAACCTGTGTTCGTATCTGGTCCTAATCTAGCAAATGTCGTGTTGATGCTGCAAATATTACAAACCTTAGATGGGATTCCCTGTTACAAGAGCAACGATGTCGTCAAATTTTTTGGTATCATGCACTACGATGGAATGCCATTGAACATTGGTACATTCCCAAGGGTAGATGAAAAGAATGTAATATTTGACGGGCTAACACCAACTATACCATCAAAAAAGACGATTGAGCTGCAACGAGACGGTCCAGGGGTGTTAAAGAAATACATCAGTAAGCACTGTACATGGATAAATGAAGTTAAAGAATACGACATTACAGATGCAAGTGGGTCCTTTTTTATCAACGTCTTTACAGAATACGGCTCAGCTAAAGGTACATCAGATGCTATCAAAACCGCTATTTCCGATGTCATACAAGATATACAAGTCTGCGCGCCTTGTATAAAAGAAAACAGGCATCTAGACTGTGCATTTTCGACCTTAAAAGATGCATGTAACAGGTGCAAGGATTTACAGAATGGTGGTCAAAAAGTGTGTTGTACTAGCCTCAAGATAATCCATGTCTCCTCCGATCAAGCGGCAGCACAGAGGAAAGCTCATTCAGAGTTGAACGGTGAGTCATCAAATGACATCAGTAATGCAGGTTATGTACAATATGGATTTGGCATGCTACACTTCTGTAAGAATATCATATCGTCGGCAAGAAATTATAGACTGACGGACATGTCAAGCTCGTTCACCATTTCCATGCTAACTGCTATTTGGGCATCCAAATCTGAAGAGAGCAGGAGGATGAGACAGGTTGTACCAGCAGCAGTCTTTTCATTTAAAGACAGACATAGTGACGAGTTATGTTTGCAAACTGTGTCAAAAAACTTAGAAGATATTGTTCGAGACACAAGGCATGTTCTAGTCACCTTGGTTCCAGAGCAGTACCGAACCTATGCTGTGGAAGCAAAGACACATACACTTCTTGGTCGGCCACTGTACATTACCACCAATGCTAATGGGGATTTCATATGGACAAGTAATTCAAATTGTTACTGGTAAAGATATGCAGTATTGCCTTTGTGTTTCCAACTGAAGCTTTTATTAAATGCTAGAGTGGAATATCAATTCCACCAGCATTAATAAAAAGTTTAATTGGAAACACAAAGGCAATACTGCATATCATTACCAGTAACTATTGAACGACGGATGGCGACGGACATATTGTACTGTACAATTATATCCCCTGAATATTATTCTTTTTTGTTATGTACTAAACTGTACAGTATTATATATATATATATATATATATATATATATATATATATATATATATATATATATATATATATATATATATATATATATATATATATATA